CAGCCTCAGTTCACAGGAGAAGCCCACAACTCTGCTTCACAGGGGTTACAGTCCCAGTTTACAGGTTCATGACTGAGGACAGCAACTCCAGGTTTGTGGGAGCGAGCCACAGTTTAAGCTGACATGAGGGGACCACAGCTCCAGGTCACAGGAGGGGACCATAACTCCACGTTCACATGAGGAGACCACAGGAAGGTACTACAGCTCTGGTTCATGGAAGGGGACCACAGTTCAGACTCATGGGGGACAGCCACAGCCCTAGGCTCATGGGAGGGGACTACAGTTCTAGACTCACAGGAGGAGTCATAATTTTAAATACACTGGTTCCTACTGTTTTCCTGTCTCCATTGCACTGTCCACATGACTATGTGTTAAGAAAGAGTATCTTGGATTCCATGCAGCAAACAGAGGCAACAGTCATTTGCTGGCTTGAGCTTCTTGCTAGAGGGACATCAATACTGGAGAAAACCGCTTTTTGCTTTTGCTCAAGGAGACAGATGCTTGAATGTCCTCTTCTTCACGGTCAAGGATCTTTGGCTTTTTTGGTGTCTGCTGTTTTCACATCTTTCTCTGAGGCCAGAGGGAGTCAGTGATGAGACATCTTACTGGAGTCACATTTTGCTGAGAGCTGCCGCCACCATCATCATTATAGTGTCTGTGGCCACACAGTGACCATCTTGGTTCCTCAGTTATTTCTTTCTTACTTGCCAAGTCTTTTCTTGCCTATGCCTGGTGACTGGTCCTTGTCCTCTTTGGGGTTGGTAACCTGGGTGATGAAGTCCTGTTATTACTGCTAGGCTCAAGTGACTGCTGCCTCATCCTGTTTATTTTTATTTTATGTGTAAGAGTATTTTGCTTGTGTGTATGTTGCTGTATGCAGTGTCCACTGAGGACAGAAGAAGGCATAGGATCCCCTGGAACTGGAGTTAGTGATAGTTATTAGCTGCCGTGTGGGTGCTGGGAACCAAACCTAGGTACTATGCAAAAGCAGCCAGTGCTTTTAACCACTGAGTCATCTCTTAAACCCCATAGTTTGTTTCTGTTTTTTGTTTTGACACATGGTCTCCCTATAGCCCCAGCTTGCCTGGAACTTGCTATGTAGATCAGGCTGGCCTTGATCTCACACAGATCCATCTGCCTCTGTTTCCCAAGTCCTGGGATTAAAGGCATGTGCCACCACACCTGCCTAGTTTGTTGTTTTTAGCATCCTCATTTGAAATGTCTTTAGGAAGACAAGCACTCTCTATTGAAATTTTGATTCTATTAGTTTCTGACTCCCAATCAGATTCCAAAGTAACGGGCCTCTTTCACTTCCTGTGTCCTCTCAATTTTTCTCCATTTTTCTGTCCTGCCTTAGTCCCATCATGGGGGACAACAGCAACAGCTTCTGGTTTTCTGTTTCAGCTGCTTCTTTGAGGCCAAAGAAATTCACACAATTAAGAAAGTATGGGGAAGTAAGACCTCAGATGGTCAGGGAGTATCCCAACTTCAGAGTGAATAGTTCACAGGTATGTTTGCCTACTTCCTCAGAGGATACCCTGAGCACTCAGGCCCCAGTTGCCTACAACAGTAACCTGTCTACTCACGCACCCTGTCAGCTTCTCCTTCTCCCTGCCTAACCACCACTATCCTTCTGTCGTTTCTGCTTTCTGAGTGATCTGCACCTAAGTCTGGCCTATGGCTCAGAATTCAGTTTCTTCAAACTTCCCCACGTCTGCATCACCAAGGGATGGCTGGTGGCCCCAGGAGGATAAACAGAGGCATCCTTCCTTCTATACAATTATGGGGATCTAGCAAGTTGACTTAAATGAGGCTGCCCCTCTCCAAGTCAGGACCCCCAGAACAGGAAACTCTGCAGGCAGTTTGATGATCTTTTGTTCTCTTCTCAAACTCCCTTTAAGTCATCAGCATACCTGCTTTCCAGGGTCAAAGGTCACAATGGAGCCAATAGAGCATCTAGACTTCCTGGCTCTCCTACCGCTTCCTCCCTTCACACAGAGCCTACTAGGAACTGAAGAACAGCCCTGGAGTCCCCAGTTCCTCTCTGTAGGCACTGCGTTCCTATCTGCAGGCACACAGCACCTCTCCAGGTGTTACAGTGAGAGATAAAGGACACTGGGAAATGATTTTCTGTCTGTGGGTGTTCCACATTCCTGCCTGTTTTGCTAAAGAAAAGAGTGAAGTCAGAGCAGTCTTGCGCCTAGATCCTCAGAGGGCCCGCTTAGCCCACTGTGGAAGCCCCCTGCTCTGTGTGAGCCCCTGTGAAGGCTGCTGGTCACATGCAGCTATTGAATTGGCTTATGTCCTTGAGGAACTGAATTTTATTTACTCAAAGGTAACATCTGTATAAAATGTAGCTACATTTTGAGACTCTAATGAAAATGTGTCTGAACTGTGCTTAGGATCAGCTTTTAGCCTTAGTATGAAAACTGAATGTAAAATGCACGAATAATTCCTTCCTATTGACTATATGTTAGAATATTTTGAATATACCAAACAAATATAGTATTTTAGATCTAATTTTACCTGTTTCATTTTACCTTTTTTGAGACAAGAGGTTCACTATGCCCCAGGCTGTCCTAGAATTTGCTTTGTAGCCCAGGTTAGCCTTGAATCATCTTGCCTCAGCCTTCCAAACACTGGGGTTATAGGTGTGTATGCCTGGCTTTCTGTATATTACTTTAATGTGGCTACTAGAAAATTTAAAATCATACTTATGGCTCTTGTGTGGATATTTTTTGTTTGTTTGTTCATTTCGTTTTGTTTTGCAAGAACTTAGGGCTTTACCCATGATAGACAAATGTTTTCCAGTGCTTGACTGAATTCTTATTGGAGAACTTCTGCCAGTAAATGCTCCCCTGCTGCTCCCTAGAGCCTCCTGCACAAGGGCCTAGTCCTTAAGTGTGGAAGCTTGCAAGGTTTAAAGGTAGAATTCAGGGGCTGAAGAGACGGCTCAGTAGTTAAGAGCACTGGCAACTCTTGGAGAGGACCAGGGTTTGAATTCCAGCACCCACATGGCAACTAACAACCATGTATAACACCATTTCCAGGGGCTCCAACAACCCTCTTCTGACCTCCCTATGCATTGCATGATATGGGTGCATTTACATATATGCCGGCAATACACTCATACACATAAAACAAAAATAATTAAAAAATAAAATATTTAAAGGTAGAATTCAATGTATCAGGTTCATGTTTGCAAAATAGTATCTCCATCCCAGATTGTCCCTGTCCTGTCTTGAAGGTGAGAACTTACTTCTTTGTCTCTTGTGGCTTCTATACCAGGAAACTGGTGAGTAGAAAGATGTTTTCCAGTGATGTAAATCACCAACCCACTCACTTGCTGTATTCATCAAAATGCTTTGGATTAAAGGCACTCACCCCACACCCAGCATCAAAATGCTTTTTTGAGGAAAGGTCTCACAATCTGCCTGTTTCCATCTTCTGAGCACTGGAATTGTAGTGTGTACCACCAGGCCTGGCAGATTCGGATTTAAATAGGGCCCAGGGTCAGTGTTTCTGGCATCAGGAGGGCACCCCTAATCGCAGATGATTGGTCATAAAGATGGCCACTTGTCTCAAGGTAAGCCAATGAACTGCTCTCCTGGGAGACTGGAGTAGAAACTGAATTGTAGTAGTACCTGCTTTCTTGAACAATGAAGCCCAGGACTCTGGTATCAGAAGTTATGGCTACCCTTGGTCATGTATCTGAGGCACAAGGAAGGCCAGGCTGAGAGAGAAGAAAGGACTGCTTGCAGAAGGCAAGCATCCTGGGTTAGCAGAAGCCCTGTGGCTCTGGATTGACCTCCTGAGCTCTCCCTGCAGTTCTAACCTGGGAAACTCCCAAGTCCTCAGAGCACATTCCCTGGGAATCGGTTTCCTGCAAAGGACAGGGCCTTAATTAATAGAGTGTGGGAAGAAATTAGCGGACCGGGTTTATGTTTACAGTTCAAGGGACATTTATCCTTTTTTTTTTTTTTTTTGAAACAGTAGAAAAAGCTGATCAGTAACCTCTATGTTCCCGATAGTGGACAGTTCCCAGCACCACCCTGCAGCGGCGTTTTGGGTTCAGCAGACTTGTGGCTGGCCTGGGAAGCGGATCGCCGTTTATAACATTGTTTCTAAGGGAGACACATTCCAATATCCAAACAATGAATTTAGTGGAGAATGTCTGGCTTCCAGGCGGATGGGATGAGTTGGTTTGCACCTTGGAGGTTGGCCACCCTTTAACTGTTAGGCCCCCTTACCCTTGTCCTTTGGCTTGGGGATCGACTGTAAAGTCAGGGCATGGATATAGGGAGAATTCTGGTGAGAGGGTATGGAATCCGCAGCAGGGGTGCTCCCTCCCATGCACTAGAGTGCCCCGGAAGTCCAGAGATGAAGAGGGGGGAGGTGAGAGATAGACAAAGAAACTTGGCCTCCTTCACATTGCTGTCACGTCTGTCCGCCCGCGAAGACGAAGGGGCCCAGTTAGCCCTTGCGTGCCTTTGGGAATAAGCCTGGGTGTTAGAAAAGAAACACTCCCCCGCACCCCCCACACCTCTCCGGCCAGCTGCACATCCTCTGGGTTCTTTAGATGGGCTGCTCCCTGGGAGTGCCTGTAACAGCGCGCCAGCCGAGCCGAGAGCTTGGGACAAGTCCATGACGCTTGGACCGGGCAGATGGGGTGAGAGGCGCCACCTTACCCTCTCCACCCGCATGCTCTACCCCCTCCCCATCTCCTCCCTCTGTCTGCCAGCCTGGAAAAAGCGTTGGCAACTAGAGTTCGCTGGCCTGGGGGAGGGGGTGGAAGAGACGCGCTGCCACCGCATTGTCTTGTAGGGAGGGGAGAAGCTCCGCCCTGTGAAGGGGAGGGGAGAAGAGGAGGGAGGGCAGGAGTGGAGGAAAGAAAGGCGAGGGAAGAGGGGCGGGGAGAGAAGAGCCACAGACAGAGTAGAGGGGCGGGCCGGGCGGGGAGGGGACGGGAGGCCAGGAGGGCGGGGTGCGGGTCTCCAGCAGCGCCAGGGCCCGCCCTGCCCGGTCGGACCCAACGGATCGGTGGATGCTGCCAGGCGAGGCTGGAGCACCCCCGAGGCTGGTGCCCCCACTTTCCAACTGCACGATCCCTGCGCGCGCGGATGCATCTGGCCCGGGACGCAGGCAAGGCAGCGGGTGCGGGGCGCTAAGAGCCCAGGCACTGGCGGGATGCTGGGCGCAAGGTGTTGGCGTCCGCGGGCCTGTCGCCCCCAAAGTTTCCCGCGGTGGCGCCTGGCAGCCTGGCCCGGCCCGGCTCGGAGTCTTCTGCCCCTGCACGCCACCCTTCTTCCCCAGCTACAAGGGGGGTCCTGGGTATCTGGGCTGCCCCGGGGCCACTCGCCTTCGCGCCCAAGAAAGTTGTGGCTCCGAGTTCATCCTCCCGCCTGACCACCGGAGGTCCGAGTGCAGCGGTGGGAGGTGCCCCCACCCCATACCCGGGTGTCCGGGACGCGAAGCGGAGCGGGATAGCAGGTGCAGGGCGGGGCCAGCTGGGTCAGTTTGGCAGGGTCGCGCCGCTGTCCTCCTCTGGCTAGCCATGTGATGGGCAGTGTCAGGGGGCACGCGGCGCGCACCCGTCGCCCTCCGCCTTCAGAGCTGCAGGGGACACGCGGCCCGCGGTTATGGGCGCACTTCCCCTTTGAGGTCTCGCGTCCGCCTCTGGAGCTGAGTTCACTGGGGACCCAGCTTCAGTTCTCTCGGCCCCAGCTAGGCAGGTGCCTTCTGCGCTCCAGCCGCCACTTCTGCATTTTGAGTGCTTGCTTTGCGCCCAGCTCTACTACTCTGGCGAGCCCTGCAGAGAGCAGAGTGGCGGTGTCCCGCCAGGGACAGAGGGCTTCCCGGGCGCTGTGTGGATTCTAGACTGTCCGCAGCCTCTCTGTACTTCGGGGGCCGGCTCAGCGCCAGGCTGTGCTCGCTTTATTCCCAGGTGTCTGGAAACTAGAGAGCTAGGATAGCTTCTCCCTGAGAGCGGAGGCCGAGCACAGAGGGACCGGGGTTACAATAAGTACCTTACAAGGCGTGCTTGGGGAAGTGGCTGAGAAATAGCAACGTAGAACAGGCTCCGTAGGTCCTTGCCGTAATTGGTCCTGGTCCGGTGGGAGGAAAGAACTCAACCAGGGAGCATGTGGGTGAGGAAGCTGACTTTTCAATCCACAGATTTATTTATTACTTGGAAGCTTTCTACAGGTGGTCTGAGGGTTAAAGAAACCTCTTGTGACTAAAATATATTGAATTTGAGACGAGTGCTTTTTTTTTCTTCCCTCATTCCTGCCCACCTTCCTTTCCTTTCTGTCCCGAGGAACTAACTGTGGTATCTTCCTGAGTGGTGCCCATGTGGGCTCCGAAAACCGTAGAGTGAGACCCCGAGTGTGGGCTGTTTCTCCTCTGGATAAAAGCCTGATGTCTGGGACCTGCTGCAGCCTAGTGGGCCTTGGGGAGGTAGAGGAGAGCATCACATGATGGCTGAGCTGGAGAGGAGGGGTTGGCTTAGAAGGAGGCATCATTCTGGCCCTGATACAAGATGGAGGCATAATGTATAGTTTGCCTGGGCACCTGGGGTTGTGGGCTAGTACAGTTTGAAACTTTCTGTGCTGGGGATGGTGGGAAGCCAGACCCATTCTTTCAGCAAATAGGAGAGCAGAGGTGGAGTGTTGAGGAAACAGGATGCGACTTGGGATACAGCTTAGACTATCCAAGCACAAATGATGAGGGGTAGTTTTGAGAAGCCCAGCTGAAAGGCTAGTGGATCTGAGGTTTCCCAGACCAGCATCCCTGAGATGGTATGGGGTGGACCAGGTGGGCCAGTACATGCCCTGTACCTGTATCTGCTACTTCTTTAAGCAGCAGCATCCCACCTTTCTGAGGGTGGTCTCCCTGAGGTCCTGGGGCTCCACAGCATACCTCTCTTCACCTCAGGGTGGCTTCTCTTTGGAGGTGCCTGCTTTCTCCCTATGCTATGGTATTATAGGAGGTGGGGGCCTGGCAGTAGATGACACCACAGCTTGCTTTCAGTCTCTCAGCTCTCTTCTTCACTTTGGTGCCCTGGCCTACTGGTGGCATCTCAGTGTCCCACTGGTTTCACTTTGATTTGTATATTTCCTGAGGCCCCTAAGCCAGGCTTCTCATTTGGTCCTGTTTGTGAACTACTTAGGAATTGAGGACCTGGGCTATAGGTGTATGCAAGTCTGTGCATCTTGGCACCTCTCCTGCCTCATTAGGGCTGGACACTGGGACTTGCTAGAAAGGTGACCTGGTGTCCAAGCACAAAAAAGTTGGACCTGATTACTGCTTCCAGTCCTCTTTGGTATTCTTTGGCAGGAAGTGTCCTCATTGCCTGGGAGGAGTGGAGGAGAGGGTAAGACGTGGTTGCCAGAGTCTTAAGGAGAGGCTGAGAGAGGACTGGGGGAACCCTAGGAGCAGACCTGGGGCCTGCCCAAGCCTCCTTTCTCTCCCTCAGCGAAAAACTGGTTGTTTTAATTACGTGCTCGGAATAGAAGATGTCTGGTCTCTGACCTCCAGTCAGAGTTGCTGAGAGCTGCCTCAGCCTGGTTTAAAGCTAAGGAAACAGTTTCTCTTGCATTTCCCACCACCCCTGCCACCCTTCATTTACCTCAATGACACACTGTCACATTTAAACACCTCTCTGGCTCCCAGAAAAAATTTTCAAAGTCCTTGAGGTAGGGTAAGCTCCCAAAGGCCTGTGATTGCTCGTCTCATTTGTTTGGCCTGCTTATGGGCTCCTATGGAGGACATGGCCTTATTGGGGCTTGTGAATGGAGCAGTAGGTGTGGTAAACAATGCCATGCTTAGACTTTGTAGAGTGGGTCATTGCTGATCCTCCCTGGATAGAGATTCTGGAGCCTCTAAATACAGGTTGATGCTGCTGTTTGGGATAGTAGCTGGGGCTGCTGAACTCCTGGAGTCAATCCCCAAGAGGAGAGAGGGGCTGTGGAGGGCATTTGACTGATTCTAGTGACTTTCAAGGACTTTTTCCCTCTGCTCAACAGTTGACAAAAAGATACCTTGTGCTTTCTTTGGACCTGTCAACCCAAAGTGATTAGGTAAAGTAGGCACATTCTATCAGCATGAGTTTCACCCCATGTGCTCATAGTTGGCATTCAGTTATGCTTGTTAACTACTTGTTTCTGCAAGTGTAATAGGATGAGTATTGGATTTGGAGTTTTCCCTGCATTCTTTGTTTTGATATATCTTATCTTTATTTTATGTGTATGAGTGTTATGCCGGCCAATATGTAAGTGCACCCGTGTTGTGCATTGCCTGTGGAGGACAGAAGAGGCATTGGATCCCCTGGAACTGGAGTTATAGATGGTTGTTAGCTGCCTTGTAGGCGCTGGGATTTGAACTTGGGTCTTCTGCAAGAGCAATCAGTGCTCTTAACTGCTGAGCCAGCCCTCTAGCCCTGGAGTTTGCCCTGCATTCTATCATGTTTTAGCTGTAGGATATGGGTGTTGTAATAGATTTTGTCAGTGTCTTGCTTATGTTTCCTTAGCCTCCACCAGTGACTGATGAGAGAAGACATGCAAATATTCTCCAGCCCCTCAACTCTGCTGTGATTACCCTGAGACATGTTCTGTGCTGTCTCCGAAGGTACTTCTTGGGGCACTGTTGTTACCCAACTTCTCACAGGAGGAGCGTGCTCCCTTGATCTGCTGTCTCTTCCTCTTGTCTTGCTTCCCTACTCCCCTTGGACACTTGCACTTGAGTTCATGTCTGTGCTTCTGGGGGAAATCCAGCTAAAACAGGCTTTAGACTTTAGTTAAAAATTCACCTAAAGTTTCACTTAAAGTCTCGTGTTATCCGATCATAAGGTGGAAATGATAGTTATTGCACAGTGATATTCCAAAGATGAATGAACTGTGGTGGCATACAGTAAACATTCAGGGAAACATGTGCCAGCTCACCGGTTAATACTGAAGGGGGCTGTGATGGATTTGAGAGAGTATTAAGGTAGAACATGGAGAATCATAATGATTGGAAAGAGATGCTATCCTTAAATGGGAAAATGGAAGTTACCTGCCCAGTAATCGCATACCTAGGTTGTGACCAGTGATGTGCTGGCTAATAGTTTAACAGTTGACTCTCGGAGTCAGGTGGAGAAGCCTTGCTTTGAGTTATCTGCCAGTTTTGGTTGTGTAACTGTTCCCATTATAGATGATTTTATGCTATCAACATGGTGTCAGGATGTAAACTCTATGAACCCTGTGGTCGTGGCTGAACTGGGATGTGACTTCACTGATCTCAACTCCAATTTTATGCATGGGGAGGGGGAGGGTAAAAGCTGTACTGAGTCCCAAATTTGAGGTGTATGTAATCTTTGCTCTGAACTGGTTGAATCACTGAGTAAGACAGTGCTAGAGTTCATAAAATGATTACTCAGATGTTTATTCTGAGTCTTTGTGGCCTTCACTTCCCTATCTCCTGGGCAAGGGATTAATTAGGTAGTTACACGTGTCCTTTCTAGCCCTTGTTTTCTTTTGGAAGGATCCGCCACATTTTCCTTCTGTCTGCTCAAGAACAAAGTATTGAACATAAAAAGCTTCTCAAAAGTACAAAAGTATGTGTCCATACTTGTGGTGTGCACCCCTGGGCACCTGCAGCAGGCACTCATTTTTCTGCTGGACAAGGAATTCAGTAGGCATCAGCCCAGTATAATTCTCCTTCCTTGTTATGTCCAGTCTCTCTTCATGGCACAGGTAAGGGTGTCCCCAGGGAACTCTGGGAAGGAAGGCTAGGAAGGGGCTAGCTTCTTGTAGGAAAGACAGTCCTTAACTTATTGGACCACTATGACATTTCATAGTGGACTCTAAGAAAGATCTGTGTGAAGAGAGAGGCTTTTACAAGACAGAGTTCAACATCCTTGGGGTAGTTTACTCTCTTCAATCTTTGGACAGCCTTCCTGAGGGAGCCCCTGACTCACTCTGCGCTCACTAAGGATGTAATTGAACAAGTGTGTGGGGATGTCCCTTGCATCATTGTTTACAATAACAATAACAACAGCGTCACAAACTGGAGGCTCACTGTCCTACAATCACGGGTTAGTTAATTATGGTGTGTTGATATGTTGGAATACCATCTGGCCTTAAAAATAAAGGTTATAAATGTGC